CATTCTGACATATGTATTTCTGTTTGTGTGTGTGTGTGTGTAAAATTTTATGAAAAATGATACAACACCTCTTTATCTCCAGCCACTCTTCTGCTAATCTCATTTGGTCTCATGGATTTAATTAACACCTAAATACTTAATGGTTCTCAAATTTACATGGAAGCTGTGACCTCTTCCTTATGCTAGTAATGCAGCTGCCCACTCAGGATCCCACCTGGATATTTGGTAGGCATCTCAAACTTAAGGTATCGGAAACTAAACATGCCTGATCTTACCTGAAACTTGACCTCCTGCAGTCTTCCTCAGCTCATTAAAGGGCAACTCCATCTTTGCTGTGGCTCAGAGTAAAACCTGTGCTGCATCCTTGACTGTTCTCTTTCTCTTCCATCCCACATCTCATTTATTAGCAGGTCCTTTAGAATTCATCCAGAATCTGATTTAACACCATCCCCATGTGGTCTATGTCCTCATCAGTTCTCATGTGCATTATTACATTAATCTCTTAGCTGGTCTTCCCATTTCTGTTCTTGCATCCCCATCAGATCCTTTTAGAACAGAAATCAAATCAGGTTCTTGGTCCTACTGCTTCCCTTCTCATTCACAGTCAAAAGTTCTTCAGTCATATCTATGGCTGTATATCTGACCCCCTCTTTAACCTTCTCTCTTATACTTTTTCTCTTGCTTATTCACATCTAGCCACACTGGCCTCCTTATTTATACGTCTATAGTCTGTCTTCCCTTACTAGAATGTTGGCTTTATGAGGTCAAGAACTTTGTTCTGTTTTGATCATTGTTGTATCCCCAGTGCTAGACTATTGCATGAGCCATGGTAAATGGTCAAATCTTTGTTGAATGAATGCTTTATAATCTTGTTTCTCTCTCAACATATTACTTTCTCTTTTTTGATCATAGCTTTGTTGGGTAACAAGAGGTAGTCATGGTAAGATTTGTTAATTAAAGGGCATATTTTAGATCATTATAATTTTTTCTTGGACTACATAGATAGCATCTCTCCTATGGAAGGATAGGACTAGGTTTGGTAGTAAGAATGTTCTGTATATTTGTCAGCATTTCCTCTTCCTCTGGTCTTTGGCCCTTCCTAATGCCATCACTATCGCTGCACACTTTTTTTTTTTTTAATTTTAAAAGGTTATTTATTTTAGAGAGAGAGAGAGAGTTGGGGGAGGGGCAGAGGGAGAAAATCTCAAGCAAATTCCCCACTGAACTTGATCCCATGACTCATGAGATCATGACCTGGGCCAAAACCAGGAGTCAGACAACCTACTGAGCCACCTAGGCACCCTCCCTGCACACTTTTTAAAGATGCTTTTTACTTGCTTTGGAAGGGGCAGGGTTACTAATATCTCTTTACCTTTTAGCCAAAGGATTTCTTCTTGATCCTGAAATAATTAAGAAAAAATGCCATAGAGTGTCAAAAGACCTGGGTTTGAGTCCTGGCCCTCCCATTGGCTATGACATTAGTCACCTAACTCACTCTTGTTTTCCCTCCCTTGTTACATGAGAATAAATAATAATGTCATATTAAAATTGTCTGGGAGAGTAAAGTGAGATGAAGTATTTGGAAATGCTTTATAAACTCTTGAGTGACAGGCTGGTGGGAAATGAAATTAGGTTCAGATCAGCCTTTTTTTGTGTTTTTTCAACAATTGCAACGTGCCAGCCTCCATCATGAGCTTTGAGGATTCTAATGTGGACAACAAGGTCTTGAATGTGACTTCTCTTTCCCTTAATGCCCTGCCAAAGTCCAGGTCCTCATCATCTCTTTTGAGTCTTTGCTAGGGTTTCCTAAGCTGGGCTTTATGTTACCAGGGTCTGATTCCTCTGGACTTCTCACCACTGCTCCTGGTGTTATCTCCCTAAAAACCCAAGTTGATTATGTCACTAATCTCTGTAAAGATCTCTGTCATTTCTCCACTGCCAACAAGGAGCCTCAGTTTACATCCTGGTCCAGCTTCATTTCCTATCACTAGTTCCCTGTAGACACCAGGCTTCTGTCTCACTGAATTGCTCAGTCTTCTCTGATATCGCAGGGGAGAGACCACCTGTGACTCTGTACATTTAAGTCCTCAGCCTGGAAGGCCTGCCTCCTCCGGTTTTGTTTTTTTGTATCCTTTCAGACCCAGCCTTGACACTGACCCCTCCATGACTTGAACCTTCTACTCCCCAAGGAGAGTTAGTTTCTATAATTTTGTCTGTTCCCACAGCACTTTGTGGTTTTTTTTGGACATAGTGTTTATTATTCTGTGGGCTTTTGAAGTGCTGGGATTATGTCATTTAGGGTAATATAATGTGATAGTCCACCTAAGAAGGTATAGTGGATTGAGTGGTGGCCTTCAAAAAGATATACCCATGTCCTAATCCCTGGAACTTGTGAATGTGACTTTTATTTGGAAAAAGGGGTTTTTGCAGATGACAGATGCCCTTAAGTTAAGGATCTTTTTTTTTTTTTTTTAAGAGACACAGTGTGTGAGCAGGGTGGCAAGGGGCAGGGGCAGAAGGAGAGGAGGGAGGATCTTAGGCTTCACGTCCAGTGCGGAGCCCGACTTGGGGCTCAGTCTCACAACCCTGAGATCATGACCTGAGCCAAAACCAAGAGTCAGATGCTTAACCTGACTGAGCCACCTAGGCGCCCCTAAGTTAAAGAGCTTGAGACGAGATCATCTTGGATTATCTGAGTGGAGCCAATTCAGGGACAAATCTCCACACAGAGGAGAAACACAAAGAGAAGAGAAGGCCATGGAAAGCCAGGGGCAGAGATGGCACTTGTGTAGCACCTGGGGCCACCAGGAGCTGGGGGAACAGGAGAGAGGCTTCCCCTAGAGCCTTCAGAGGGGGCGCAGGCCTGCTAACACTTGTATTTCTGACTTCCAGCCTCCAGAACAGTGAGAGAATAGATCTGTTGTTTTAAGCTCCCCCAGTTTGTCGTAATTTGTCACAGCAGCCCTAGGAAACTAATACAGAAGGTCATAGGAGAATGACTGGGACGTAGTAAACATCATTGTCATCACCAACAGTAACACTGTCATCACTGTGATTCTTAAACCTAGGATGGGACCTGAAGAGCGGTATATGCTCAGAAAATAGTGACTGGTTGAGTAAAAATACAGTTCTTCCCCATGAGCTTCCAGTGCGTTGTAACGGCCATGGTATTGTCAAGAAGTGTGCTTAAAGAGAGCTTCCAAAATAGATCCCCTCTTAACTGTGTTGTTTTAAATGTCTTTTTGTATGTCTGTGTGAAGGGTGGTAGTGGATGTTTTAAATTGTTTTTTTTAGAACCATTTTTACACGGTTTTCCATAAATTTTCCTTTTAGAATAAGACGAGTTTTGTCAAAATAGAAGTTATAATGCCCCCTGTTCCCCCTAAAACAGAAAAATGAGCAGTTACAGTTCTAACAATAAAAAAAAACTTAAAATATGTCTTCTTTTTCCCATTAGAATGTTATTTAGTGAAATTAATTTCATGCTGATTGGCCTTGAAATACAATTTAGAGAGGTACTTTGGAGCAATAATTTATTTCATTCTGCTATGAGGTAGTTGAAAACCAAAATTTTCAAATAATCATAAAGCCAAATTTGGTAGGCCATATGTATCATTTGTGTGTAAATTTTGGTTTGCCACTGGAAGCTAGGTCTATGACCTAATTTTTACTAATGTTTTAAAAATTAGTATAATAATAAAAGCTAATGTTAATTGAGCTCTTGCTCTATGCTAGGCACTGTTCCAGGCTTTTTACATGAGGCTCTTTACATGAATTAACTGAATTCATTCTCACAGCCATCCTATTCTCTTTACCTGTTCTCTTAACTCAAAGACGATGCTGAGGCACGGAGTGGTCAATATCACGATAGCTGACATGTCAGAGACTCAAAGTGGCCATGGCTCATACCCTCTGTACTTTTCTGACTCTCCATGTACTGTGTCAGCTTTCATTGTTGAATACAGTTTGAAATGGAGATTATCAGTAAATCTAAGTAAAGCATCCTCATCTAATTCCATAGTGTTTCAGACTTCAGTGTGCTTATTTACCCACAGAGATTCTGATGCGTGGGGCTGGGAATATGCATTTTTAGTAAGTACCAAGCAGTTTGGGTCCTACTTGGAAATACATTGATCTAGTTACCATACAAACCTCACAGTTCATTTCACATGAAGGCCCAGGGTGGTGGCGTTGGTGGTGGTGATGCTAATGGTATGCTTATGTTAGGCCATTCTTTACATATATCTATGTTCCAGGGTGAGCCCCTTGAAGACATACATTTATCTAAACTTATGCCTCAAGTGCCTACACTATTAATCACTTTTTTTTCTTTGGTAGAGAAAGAATAAAAGGCTAGCATCAGAAGTTTGGTGTTTTTGTTTTGTTTTGTTTTGTTTTGTTTTTACCTTTTGAATGAGCCTTAAAATAAGGTCTGTTTGATCTGAGGAAATTGTAGTCTGTAGACAAGAAAATAAGCATGACATAAAATTTCTACCCTAACAGGGTTTTTGTATATTTATTTTTGGTTTAGAAGAAAATTTTATTTTTTATTTTTTTTAAAGATTTTATTTATTTGACAGAGAGAGACACAGCGAGAGAGGGAACACAAGCAGGGGGAGTGGGAGAGGGAGAAGCAGCCTTCCTGCCCAGCAGGGAGCCCGATGTAGGGCTCGATCCCAGGACCCTGGGATCATGACCTGAGCCGAAGGCAGACGCTTAATGACTGAGCCACCCAGGCGCCCCTGGAAGAAAATTTTAATGTACATTCTATTTTACAGTAGAGCAATAATCCATCATTTGGGCTACTCTGAATATTAACTGTAGGCAAGGGGGGATCTTCTCTCTTCGGTTTGGTAAGAAACTTTCACCCATTTGTACGGCCAAGAAGCCTGATTATGTGTGTTTTTAGAATATAGGGAAAACACTAAGCTTGCAGTTTTACTAACTTCAGTATCTTAATTGTATATTGAACCGGCAAAAATACGTTTTTCTTTCTTCTAGGGAGTCACAAATCACATTGAGCCTAAAAGCAGCCAGTGTTTTCTGCAGTTACAAACAAAATGAATATTCCCATGCTACTGCAACATTCTCACCGGCGTTTCCTAAAAGGCCTTTTAAGAACACCTTTCCGTCGTTACCACTTCATCTTTCACTCAAGTACTCATCTCGGATCAGGAATCCCTTGTGCTCGGCCATTTAATTCTCTTGGACTCCATTGTACAAAATGGATGTTGTTGTCAAATGGTTTAAAGAGAAAATTATGTGTACAAACAACCTTAAAGGAACACACAGAAGAACTTTCTGATAAAGAACAAAGATTTGTGGATAAACTTTATACCGGTTTAATCCAAGGGCACAGGGCCTGCTTAGCAGAGGCCATAACTCTTATAGAATCAACACACAAGAGGAAAAAAGAGTTAGCCCAGGTGCTTCTTCAGAAAGTATTAGTCTACCACAGAGAACAAGAACAAATAAATAAAGGAAAACCACTAGCATTTCGAGTGGGTCAGTTTTTTTTTTTCTTTCAGTCTGTTCAGTAAATATTTTTCTAAATTTTCTGTTTTAAAATAAGTCTACATAGTTTGTAATCTAATGGGAATTCTTTTTTTCTTTTCAGAATTTTGGGCTGGATTTTAATCCCCCTCCCCCCCCCCTTTTTTTTTTTGCAAATATTGGTCTTGTTATGTTGGGGGGGAAAATGTCATGGTCATTTGAACCAAGACTCTGTATTTTAAGAGAATAATACAAGATTTCTATTTTGGCAAGAACCTGTGGCTCCCAGAATAGAATATGCATATGAAGAACTGTTAACTGGTTTACTCCTTCCCTTGGTAGTCCTTCTGCTTGATAGTCTGAAGTGAATGCCTTGTTTTTGTATTTATATCAACTATAAATATCCTTATCACATTTCAACATTCTACTTCTTAGGTGTTTCATTAGTCTTTCTAGGGCAAGTCTCTCTTCTTTCAGGTACTTTTTGTTAGAGTTTCTGGGAGTTGCTTGGCTTTAAGCACAGCAACTCCCAGAGAGAGAGACCATGTTCATTTGCTGTCTAAAATACTAGAAATTCACTCGATTTCTTGAACAATTGACTAGGTTCCACAATTGCAAATAAGCTTGCTATACTTTCTTAATTGTGCATTTTTAAACAGTTTAGATATGTTTAGGTGGGATGAGAGCCCTTCATGATGGCAAAGTAGGTGATTCCAACCAACTTTCCCACTAAAACTTGAAATGGTGGACAAAGTGCAGAAATTTTGTGAGGATTGAGTAAATACTTAAAAATTGACTGGCATTATATTAGACTTAAATCTCAGTTTAATGATATGGGATTAAAACCTTCTAATTTTATGGTAACAGGGTATGAATCTTTAAAGATTATTTCAAAAAGAGTTCACCAACCCGATATTGGTACTAGTCTGCATTGTTCATGCATCCTAGGCTTCTGCCTTCACTGAAGGAACTCTCGTTTTGAGAGTACTACGTTGACTGTTAATAATCTTTATGTATTGTAGACAGACAAAATAGTAGACTCCCAAAGAGAAATTCCTGTTATGACAGAGTGTTTACTTATTACGCCTAAACACTGTTTGAAGAGAAAACATCCCAGAAATATACAGAGTTAACCAGCAACTCACTTGTAGCTAGTAACTCACAAATTTTCATTGCTATTCTGGTTCTTTCATCTTGGTGTTATGAGGCCAGATAAACCTGTGTCTTTATGGTAGCTATTTTATCACCATCATAACTACAAGTAACGAATGTTTGTTCGGCATACCGATATTTAAGACAGAGACCTGCCCTGAAAATTGCAGTAAGGAGCCAAGCATGCCCTATGACCTACGCATACTTTTGAATGTAATTACAATTAAATGCTTCAGTGTTATATACTTTGTGCCAGGTGCTGTTCTAAACATTGCAGATATCACCTCCTCTAGTTCTTACAACAGCCTGATGAGATAGGTGCTATCGCATGCATTTTATTGCAGAGTATACTCAGGTACAGAACGGTTGAGTAACCTCACCACGATTGTACAGCTCCTAAGAGGCAGAGCTGGAACCAGAACCGGCCACTTGGCTCCAGAGTGCGTGCTCTTTTTTTTTTTTTTTTTAAGTTTTTTTTTTATTTGAGAGAGAGAGAATGAGAGATAGAGAGCACGAGAGGGAAGAGGGTCAGAGGGAGAAGCAGACCCCCTGCTGAGCAGGGAGCCCGATGCGGGACTCGATCCTGGGACTCCAGGATCATGACCTGAGCTGAAGGCAGTCGCTTAACCAACTGAGCCATCCAGGCGCCCCAGAGTGCGTGCTCTTATCTGCCATGCTCTGTGAACTCTCCAAGCAGGGGAATTTTCTACCTTTCTTAAGACAAGCTAATTTTTTCAGGATTCAGTTTAAATCCTATATTTTGAGTTACAGGTAGGATGAAAAAAAATTACCTTTCATAAATAGAAAATTATTTTCTCAATCCCTGGGAATTTCCAGAGTACTGAGTTGTTTTTCTGGTGGGAAGAGCAAAGTGTCCAGCATTGGGGTAGGTGGGATAATTACTGATCATGGTGAGAGGTGGGCAGGTGTTGTGGAAACTCAGCACATTAACAGTATAGGCAATGAAGTCTTCCCAGAAAGATCTATGTTATAGTAAAAGGGCCGATCATATTTTGTAATTTTACAAAGTGAATTTGGAGAACATAGGGAACTCAGAATTGTTTTCTTCCTATGTCCCTATTGCTCAGGAACTAGATGAATAAATGGTTTTTTGTTTACTTTAGGAAATGTTAAAATACATTAACGATGGTTTTAATACATGAGGAGAAATAGAAGATAAATCTAATATTTGAATAGAACTTATCATTGTGCTGCCCTCATTTCTTTCATTAAATTAGAAGGTCTCTCTCTACTGTAGGATTATCTGGGCCCCCTGGTGCTGGAAAATCAACCTTTATAGAGTATTTTGGAAAAATGCTTACTGAGAGAGGGCACAAATTATCTGTGCTAGCTGTGGACCCTTCTTCTTGTACTAGTGGTGGTGAGTATCGCTGACTTTTTTTTTTTAATTGCAGAGCAGGGGCTCATAGGGCTCTCTTATAATTTAATGGGAATTTGCACAGTCTGGTGACTTCTAATCTCTCTCTGAGTTTGATCTCACTGAAAGAAGGGAGTTTTGGGGGTGGCGAGGTGGAGATGGAGGGAGGTGGTTTGGGGCCTTGGGCTCCTTAGCTTGTGGGTAGTCCAGGACGAGCTTGGGTACTTAGAGAACTAGGAAAATGGGTGCCAGAAGTTGAAGATAATCAAAAGCAACTTTCAGCTCTTTGTCTATCAAAGCTGACACTAGGCCCTCTTCCCTCCTGTTTTTTCCTTGGCTGTATCAGCCCCTACACAGTTCAGAAAATGGGTCCATCCCTCATTCGCTTTTTTCTTATATTGTTGTAACATCTCTTAAGCTTAAAAGAAAATCTTACTGCTCTTTCTAACTTGTCACCGGTTCATATTACATGTTCAGTGAAACAGAAAGCTCTTAGAAGGACCGACCATGTAATATACCACTGTTCTCCCTACAGCACTTAGTGTGGTGTGTCACATCTCAGGCTCAGCAACTACTTACTGGTTTGAGGGCACACAGTCACTCTGAGTTTAGTTTAATTTGCAGCTCAGAGAGAAAATGAATAAACTTTGTTTCCCCAAAGGATCATTTAAGGAAAACATAAAGCATACCATATAAATACTCAGGAAAGTTTTTTCTTCCCCCTACCCCTCTCACATTGCAGTTATTCATTTAACGAGTATTCGAATGTCTGATATAGGCAAGGCATTGTACAAGGAAGGCACTGTGTCATGTAATGGTGACTGAGACACAGTCGTCTTGGCCTTATGGAGCTTTATATCAAATGAGGGAAACAGACTTGTGAACACAGGCCGTTACAATGTAACGTGTGTTGTGAGGGGAAAATACAGGGCGCTTTGTGGAAGTGTTTGGTTTGCATACTGTGAGTTTCGTGCTAAAAAAAATAGAGATGATATAATCATATTTCAAGGGCTTTAGGTCAGTAGACAGGTGGACAACAATTCCTATTACCACCCATTGAGAACTGTAGCTGAGAACATGCACAGTTTTTGAGTCACAATAATAAAAATGTTAACCATAAAATAAAATTATACTCACAAGGTTCAAGATTAAAGGCATGTCAATGTATCGTCTTATTTACATTCTAAGAACTTTCTTTGTTAAAGGTAAGGACTTGAACAAAGAATTTTTTTAGAGTGGCTCTCATTTTCATACAGGGGAGAAGGCCTTTTTTCTCTTACCTTTGCAATATTCTAGAATACTTGCAATAGCAAAAGAAAATAATAGCTTGAGATAGTAATAGCAGATACAGTGACAAGATAGCCTGATTAAAGTTGCATAGCCATGTGGTTCTTAATTCTTACACTAAAAATGAAGGTCCCTTTCTCAGGTAAAAAAAAAAAAATATGTAGACTTTGAAAGAAAAAATATGTGAGGATTAACAGTAAGTTTCCATTTCTGCTTTATTACTGCTACAGTACCATACATTTGAAAAGCAGCAAGATGCTAAAGTTGAAAAGCATTACTTTATTGCCCTGTAGTTCAGTCCTTGTTGTGCTTTGGATTCACAGACCCCCTGCAATAGCTTGGAGACCTCCCTAAGTGTCTGCAACTGACAGTTTTGGACTCACTGCTAAGACAGTTAGACGGGAGAGTAATTTCATAATGTTTAATTCAGTGTGTTAGGATCTATGTGATAATAAAGTATGGCTTTGGCAGATTGTTGACTTGCACAGAGATGATTTCATGCAGAAAATCACTTTAGAAAAAAGTTTTGTGTGCAATAAATAAGGTAGTTGAGATATGTGGTAGGTGTCTGCTCTAGAATAGAACCTGTGAGAACTCTAGGGGTACCTGGGTGGCTCAGTCGATTAAGCATCTGCCTTCGGCTCAGGTCATGATCTCGGGGTCCTGGGATCGAGCCCCGCATTGGGCTCCCTGCTCAGCAGGAAGCCTGCTTCTCCCTCTGCCCCTCCCCTGCTCATGCTCTCTCTCTCTCTCTCTCTCTCAGATGAATAAATAAAATCTTTTTTAAAAAAAATTAATTAATTAATTAATTGCCTACTGTGAATAAACACTCATTACAGAATATGTAAGACATGGTCCCATGGGCAAAGACCTTCTATTAAAGCAGTTTCTCAACCTTGGCACTAATGACATTCTTTGTTTTGGGCAGCTTCCTGACATTGAAGGATGCTTAACAGTATCCTTGGCCTCTACCCACCAGATGCCAGTAGCATCCTGCCCCCAGTTGTGACAAGTAAAAATCTCTCTAGACATTGCCAGATTTCCTCTGGGGGCAAACTCATCCCCATTTGAAAACCATAAAGACAACCATGTTAAGATGACAGTAAAGAACCCATCTTGGCTGGAATGGAAGATTGATTTGGGGACTAGTGGAAGCTGAAAATGGGCAGGTAAGGCAGGGCTGCATTCTGAGGGCCTTTAGTGCTAGGCTGAAGAATCTAGATTTGAACGTCTAGTCAGTGGAAAGCCATTATAAATTTTGAAGGGCTTGAAATGTTAAAACGATTAATTTGGCATCATACATGCTGTGTTGCACTAAAGCTCAATAATATGAAATCATTTTGAGATTTGGGGAGAAATGTCATAAAGCACTTCACCTGGGAATTAGCTGATTGATAATTGGCGCTTATAGGTGTTCCATGATTAGAAAATCTTAACTCTGTGTTTTAGGATCACTCTTAGGTGATAAAACCCGAATGACTGAGTTATCAAGAGATATGAATGCATACATCAGGCCATCTCCTACCAGCGGTACTTTAGGAGGTGTGACAAGGACCACAAATGAAGCTATTCTGTTGTGTGAAGGAGGGGGATATGACATCATTCTTATTGAAACCGTAGGTGAGTGTGATTTTGTATTTCATAACAATAAAATACTATTATAACGAATGCCATAAAAAGATGAGTGACAACTAGTATCATTTTGTTCATTCAGCATATATTTTTGAAAGGTGTCATTAAATACAAGATATCTCACGTTCTATAGGAGATATGAAAATACAGGCTCTAATCCTGACCTTTAAAGAAAAGCCGTGTATCTGGAGAACTGTTATACAAGAGTGGTATGTTGTAAATGCCAGAGGAGAACTGTAAGCATTGGAAACAACACATTAACTTAACACCTGTTGTGTTTAAGCACATTTCACATGTCTATAATATTTGCTAAGAAAATTCATGTAGTTGGGTACCTCTTTAATACAGGGCCATGTTTTATTTCATCTTTATATCCTTAGTACACAGCTATACACAATGAAAATACTGAAATGGAAACCCCAAGAAATTCACAGGCTTGTGGAGAGACAAACTACTGTTACTGAGTGATAAATGTTTGTGACACAACCTGACTCAGGTTTGAGGGATCAGGGAAGACTTCCGGGAGGAGGTGACAGTTGAGCTCAGTGTTGAAGGAGGAATTGGAGAGAAATAAAGAGGGTGAGAGCACATGGCCCATTTACAGAACTGCGGTTTGTTCAGGATACTTAGCCCATAAAATGTGGAGGCACATAGGGGGTGAAGAGAGATGGGGCCCGAGACCAGAAACTCCACCCTGTAGGGATGGATAGAGAAAGGGTTGCCTGTGTGGTAGTAGGAGAAATCAAGGGAGAAGAGGACCATAAAAACCAAGTGCATTGGCTGGAGGTTGCATTTGACTGCTTGTCCCAGAGACTTGAAATAATTGTGACTCAAACAGAAAGTGGTTTATTTTCTCGTAAACGGGAGAAGCCCAGAGGCAGGCAGTCCCGAGCAGGCCTGGTGGTTCCACAGTGCCCTCAGTGTCCCAGGCTTCTGTCTCCGCTCTCCATTCTTAGCACTTAGTTTCCCTCCTCAGGGTTGCTCTTGGGTAAAGCTCTAACCATCACATCCACATTCCAGGCAGGAGGAGGAGGGAAGAGAGAGAGTATGGAAGGAGGGGAAAGGGGTAGGCAGAAGAGGTGTACCTCCTGGCTGGGTTAGTCCCCTTTAAAGAATTTTACTGGAAACCCCATCTGGTGGCTTTTGCTTTCACTCATTGATCTTCTCTGGTGGAAATTGGGTCTGGTGACTGTGGGCTTCCAGCTGGTACATCAGTGCTCCTAACAACATTGGGGTAGGGAAATGGGGAAGAATAAATATAGAATGGACAACTAGAAGTTTCTGACACCCCAACAAAGGACAGAATCTTGAGAGGAGTTTCAGTGGAGTGGGTGATGTGGAAGTCAGATTTAAGAGGATTGAAATTAATATGAAGTAATGAAGTGAAGACAAATGAGCGTACATTGATTGTTTTTCTAGACACTTAGTTATAAGGAGAAAGTGAGAAATATGGTGATAATTGGAGGAAGTTGTGAGTTTTTGTCGTATTTTTTTTCTTGGTTTGTTTAGTTTTCAGATGAGAAAGACAAGAGCACAATTCCTATGAGGTGCTGGGCAACAGGAGCCGGTAGACTAAGGAGAGGGTAAAGATAAAGCAGAACAAGGGCCCAGAGGAAATGGGAAGGAAAGAGGCTGGAGAGGAGGCAGTGAGCAGGGCTGGTATTTGGACCTGCTTATCTGTGGAGGGGGCGAGGGGGACGCTGAGGGAGCTCTGCCAAGTAGGTGCCGGGGTCGTCATCGTGGGGGAGGTCATGGCACAGTGAATGTTTGCAATAGCCACGGCGACGAATGGGAAAGCAGCTGACTGAGGGTGCTTAGGGGCATTGCTTTTACCAGGCGGTGCAGCGGGGGTAGCAGATGGCAGACTCCACGACCCTGTGGTGGTGCCTGTTCCTGAGCCGGGTCTCGGGCACGCTTACAGAGGAGAGACCACGGATAGTCGGACTGACCCATCGGTGCAGGTTTACAGGGCTCCCCGGAGGCTGAGAAGGCCAGAAAGCTGAAAGTCTTGACAGGCATGGTCTAGGATTAGAACCACACTATTCAAGCTACTCCCTGGACATCTCGAGGTTCTCCATTTAGCCGCCATGAAGGCTAAATGGGAATAAGCGAGGGAGAGAGGTGTGGGGAGGGTCACAGATGTGCTTGTAGGCAAGGCAGTGCATTTAATAGATTCTTCAGAGGTGGGGTGTTTAAGGTGGGATCAGCTTGAGTGTGTGAGCGTGAGTATGAGCAAATGAAATGGTGGTCAAGGTAGTTGAGAAAGTCTCATCACTATGAATAGTTTACAATTTCAGGTGTGGGCCAGTCGGAGTTCGCCGTTGCGGATATGGTTGACATGTTTGTTTTACTACTGCCACCAGCAGGAGGAGATGAATTGCAGGTGATTATGTTGACTTTTTCTCCTCCCCAAACACAAAGTATGTGTCTCTGAGAGTACACATTTCCAATGTTGTATTTCTGTAAATTAAGTTGCTATTAATGTAGGTAAAAGAAGTAGCATTTCAGCGGCTCCTGGGTGGCTCAGTCGGTTAAGCATCTGCCTTCAGCTCTAGTCGTGATCTCAGGGTCCTGGGCTTGAGCCCTGCATCGGGCTCCCTGCTCAGCCAGGAGTTTGCTTCTCCCTCTCCCTCTGCTCCTCCCCCTACTAGTACACATGCATGCTCTCTCTGTCTCTCTCAAATAAAGAAAAGAAAAGAAATATCATTCATATTGGCTAAAATACCTGAGTCAAAGACACATTCTCTGTTTTTTCCTAACTTACAGTAATAGAATTTATGACCTGGAGCTAATCCTACAACTTAGATTTTTCCACCTGCAGCATGGGGAGCGAACGGGACACAGGGACAGCTCCAGCCAAAAGAGACCACTGTGGTGTGGGTGTTTGTAGGGCCGAGACTGGGGCATTTTTAGCTATCAGGTTATTTTTCCTCAAATGCAAATTGGAAAAAAAAATTATAAACCTTGAGGAAAACTTCAAAGACTTTGTTTATGGAAATGCAGATATTAGCAATAGGTGTCTTTTCTCTTTAAGCACTTAATGATGGACGGTTTTGCATCCTGCAGCATTAGCTCAGGAGAGACAGAATCCATCATGAGACAATTGGACTTGTCCCCTGCCACTCATTCATGTTGTGTCCTGATGATGTATTTCCTCTAATTGTGAATGTATTTTCTCATGTTAGTCTCTAAATTTGGAAGAGATCTTATAGATGACTTCCATAATCCCAACAGCTGGTGCTTTTGAATAATTTTTGTTGAGTAATTGTGGTTCCTAGTCCCCAGGGCTTGGGAGGATGCAGAGGAAAAGTTAGTTAATGAAGTGTATGTCTCTCAAAATCTTAGCATTGACTGGTGTCCCTTTTTTTTTTTTTTTGCTATAATTAAGTGAAGTGTTTCTGATACATCGCTGTCTTTTTCACTTCAGGGTATCAAAAGAGGTATCATTGAGATGGCAGACCTGGTGGCTATAACGAAATCTGATGGAGACTTGGTTGTGCCTGCTCGAAGGATACAGGCTGAGTATGTGAGTGCACTGTATGTCTCTCAAAATCTTAGCATTGACTGGTGTCCCTTTTTTTTTTTTTTTTTTTTTGCTATAATTAAGTGTTTCTGATACATCGCTGTCTTTTTCACTTCAGGGTATCAAAAGAGGTATCATTGAGATGGCAGACCTGGTGGCTATAACGAAATCTGATGGAGACTTGGTTGTGCCTGCTCGAAGGATACAGGCTGAGTATGTGAGTGCACTGAAGTTACTCCGCAAACGCTCAGAAGTCTGGAGACCAAAGGTCAGCTTGTGTTCCGTTCTGCATTTCCCACCCTGAGTGGACTGCGCGCATTAGAAGAGAGGGTGCGAGTCCCAAGCTAGACTTGGAATCAATCTTTGCTTGGATGTGAGATCACAATTTTAAAACATTATGGCAAAGCCAGAGCAGGTAGTCATGATTTTAAATATAATCCTTCAAGCACGAGATGTCAAAAACCAGATGCGAGGGCATAGATTAGTTTGCTTAACGCTTGACTTGAGCCATTCGGAAGTGATAGCAAATCCATCCTGAAAGGAACCATTCTTAAGATTATGGAGCAATTAGTGATTTGATTCTCTGTCTTAGAGTTTGAGTAGGAGAGAAGCTTTTGGTGTGATCGCTTCCCTTCCCATTATGTTTGTTGGGCGCTGTTTTCAGAAAGGAGAAAACGAAGAGAAGTTCTGTAATAAATGGTACACCGCTGTTGATGTGGGCAGCTTTCTGTGCAGGAGGCTGCTCAGTTATTAAAGAGCAGCTGTAATCACTCAAATGAGAGCAGCGGTGACCTCCCTTACCCTTACCCTTACCGCCCGCCCCCGGGCTCCAGCAGTCACCTTGTCTGCTCCGGGCAGGGGCTGGGTGCTCGGCTCCTAGCGCTTCCCGAATCAGGGGGCTGTGACACAGGGAATGGGGCTATTTTCTCAACGTAGTGTTGTTTCGTTTCCTAGCACTCAGGCCTCAGGGAAACCTACCCAGTATTGCCCTTCTCATCCTCATGACCCTCTCGCAGCTCCTCCATGTGGCCTCTGAGGACCATCTGAGCAATCCTAAGTCAAAATAAACCTCTGGGCTAAAAATCTTGACCTGAAATCAGTGTCTTGTTTCTGCACATAGTTAGTGATCGTAGTAAGTGACCTCAGTCTATTTCTGGGTATAGTTTACTTTGACACAGTGATAAATGTCTCCGTTTTCACTTACCTATTTTCATAGACCGTAAGACTTAATCGGCAAATATCAGAGTCCCTATGAAGATGTTTCCTATCATTTTAAGTAAAACGGTTTTGGTTCTTCCCTTTTCATTAGGTAATTCGTATCTCCGCCAGAAGTGGAGAGGGCATCACTGAAATGTGGGATAAGATGAGAGAGTTCCAGGACCTCATGCTCGCCAGTGGGGAGCTGATGGCCAAGCGGCAGAGGCAGCAGAAAGTTTGGATGTGGAATCTCATTCAGGAAAGCGTGTTAGAACATTTCAGGACCCATCCCACTGTCCAGGAACAGATTCCTGTTCTGGAAGAAAAGGTTCTTAGTGGGGCCCTGTCCCCAGGACTAGCAGCAGATGTGTTGTTGAAAACTTTTAAAAGCAGAGGCTAAGGAAATTTATCCTATGCAACGATTTTATATATCATTTCATAAAGTATTTTAATATTAAAAGTCACTTGAATGCTTATATTTTCAGTAATTCTTTTGTGCTGCCCTCGGCCTCGTTTGTGAACCGTGCTTGAAAAGTGGAAGAATGTTAGATATGGCCAGCAAAGGTCAGGCCCCGGGCAGTATTTACAAGGTACCTGTTACATGTTACTGATTTACACTTCTTTCTGTTCTTATACCCTGGCATGGTAGCTGGTAGGAGAGTTCCTTCTCATCAGTCACAAGCAGAGAAGGCTGATGAGAACAGAAAAAGCTTATGTACCTTAAAATGTTTTCTTTGATTCTATATTCTCTGAGTTTCCAGAGAAAATGTAAGCAAGAGTGACCACATGTCTAAATTCTTACTTCAGGCCAGAATCACACACAGTGGGTTTCTAGGAGCTGAAAATCATGACTGATATTTAGTGTATCAGACTATTCTAGGAATTTCTGAAATGGCCATGTACATGAGTAACAAAACAAGTAGAATGTGTAGTGATGTGAGCACAGTTTTAGAGTCTACTTGTCTAGACTTGTGGACTGCCCCCATGATAGGTAGGAGAGCCCAAAGGGAGCTGGGAGAAATCAGCTGCAAATCATGTAGCCCATTAATCCCCAAGAGTTGGAGGACACCCTCAAAGGACCCAAGTGAGGTCACAAAGATTCAAGGGTTATTGAGTTTGAATATTATCGAAGACTTTTGCTTCTCTTCCTCCTTGGTCATTTGACTTCATATGAGCATCTTAAAAATCTGCCTTACTCCTGATGAGGAGGAACAAGTTTTGTTTCCAGAGGAGGCATGGCACAGACCTTGGGTTCTGGGGTTGAACTGGGTGGGTTTAAACTTTCAACATAGATCAGTCACTCATTAGCTGTTTAAGTTTGGACAAATAGCCTACCTCTGAGTTTCAGTTTCTTTCCTGCTAAAAGAGAACTGACATGTTAACTTTATAGGGTTGATGAGGATAAATAAGATAACTCAGGAGAATATTTTTGCTACCGTGGTGGTACATAGGAAATACCCAGAGGCTGCTTGCTGTTATTGTTATGTTAGTTATAAGTACCTGAAGCTGTATAAGTCTTCTGTGTACGTGGAATTTTCTCTCATGGTCTTATGACTACCGTCATGCTCTTGTGATATTTTATGATTGTCTTTAAGGTACCTGCTGTAGTTAATTCTTTGAATATATTTTATACAGTTTGATGGTAGTTATAAGTATGTACATTTGAATAAAATTATTTCTAACTATAGAATTTCTTCATTACACAAAATTTCTTCCCAGAAAGTTCAAACCTGTACTATTCTGAGTCCTTTAGAATATTTTGCACAGTATGTCGGCTTTCACTGTTACCTATCTGGAACTAAATTACTTGAGTATTATTTTAGCAAACATTCCACAACTTTATTTTTTTATTTTAATTATTTATTTGACAGAGAGAATGAGAGAGCACAAGTAGGGGGAAGGGCAGGCAGAGGGAGAAGCAGGCTTCTCACTGAGTAGGGAGCCCAATGCAGGACTTGATCCCAGGACCCCAGGATCATGACCTGAGCCGAAGGCAGACCGATTAACCGACTGAGCCACCCGGGCACCCCCATAACTTTTTTTTTAAAAGGATTTGTGTTAGTGGCATACTTACATCTTATATGAGGGCTAGGAGAAACCAAAAGATTATCCAGTCAATTCACCTAATTTCAGAAGGGACAACCATTGAACCAGATGAAAAACTGTTTTTGGAATCTTCCAGAGAAAGAGTTTCATAATTTCCCTTAGTAAACTACTGCTACAGGGAATGACAAACCTGTCATTTGTGGCACAGCGTACGTAGCAGTCAAGCACATGCGTGCTGCCTCATGAAGAAGGTGGCAGAAGGGTGGCTTTCATTGGCCCTCCATTTAGCTATGAAGTTCTTTTCAGTTTGAATTACTTTTAAATGTTATATATATAGTCATAAAAAGCATTAGAAACCCCCCTTGTCCTCTTTATGTTGTTATTGTACCACTGGCTATAATGTAGAGACCAATTTCTAAGATACCGTTTCCCTTTATTTCTGTTACTTGCTAAACTGGCAGCTGTATAATAGGCTAAAATGTTTGTGGCCTTAAAAAAAAAATCCGTGCTCCTTTTTGTTAAGCTTAAAAATGCCATCCTTCCGTGCCATCTGTGAATCTACCACGCTAAACCCTTGACCTGGACAAAAGCATAGGTATTGACTTGGATGTACGTAGTCAGATTTCAACTGTCCTAACTAGCCACATGATTTGGGGCAGGTTTTTTCTCTTTTGTATGCACCCATTTCCTTGTATTTAAAATTAGGGTAAGAATAGCTACTGTACAGGGCTTTTGGAATAATTAAATGAGAGGTTGTATGGGAAATGCCAACACTCAGTAATTGGTAGGTGTTGGGAATATCATACATGGATACTCGTGGCAGCTCGTTGTTCTATAAGACAGACTAGCATCAATTTAATTTGGCCAAACTACTTAATCTCCCTATGTCCCAGTTTCCTCATCTTTAAATGGGGTTGACGATGGCATCCACCCAGAGTTGTTGAAAGGACTATTTTAGTTAATATACACACAGTGCCTGGATGTAGTAAGTGCTAAATAAATATTTAAAGAGTAGAATATTTAACGCCTTAGGGTTGTTTTAAGGATTAAATGAGTTAGTCTCCCCCTATCTTAAAAGAATAATTCTTTTCTGAATAAAACCTCCGAGGTTGATTTTGCCTTTGTCAAAAGCATAATTACCATTAATTTCTGTAGGTAGTAAAAAGGTGCTCTGTTCTAAACTGAGCTCCAAAATTGACATTTTGCTAAAACAGTACCAAATTTCATTAAATTGACTACAATTACTTGTACAGTTAGAGCTGCGGTTAACATTACCTATCACAATAGAACCTAGCAAGGAATTCTCTCTTCATAATCACCCCATAATATGGCTGTTTTCTTCTTGACCTGAGCACGTGTCACGGTTGTAGCTCCCGTATACAATGAAGACAGAAGCAGAGGAACAACACGCATCCGATGCTCAGTGTTTATGCAGTTTAACCTGTAATACAGAAAAAAGAGAAGAGAAAAAAATCAATGAAAACAATGGTAACATTCCGCTCACCCAGTAGATTGTCATCATAGAAGTCATGACTCTACTGCTAAAAATTAGTAAACTACAAGGAATTTGAGAAGTGAAACAACTTCTGTGATTTCTACGTTTTTGCAGATGGTGGAGCTCAGCTGCTCCTGAAGCCTGAGAATCCCACATGGGACTTCATAAACGCAGATGCTTCCTTAGACAGACTTTAGATAACTCCTTGGGAAGCCGAGCTCTCGTCCTCTGAGGGGTACATTTAGGGCACCACTCTAACTCATGTCGAGTGTTGGAATGGTGGCTGGGACCAGTACTTGCTAAATGTTAGCATCGTTACTCAGGTAAAACTAGGGAAATGAGCAAGTCAAAATTTTCCTTGAAAAAGAAAAATCAAAAAGAGACTATCCTGTTTGTTTTTCTTTCCTTGCACTATAATTTATGGACTTTTTAAAACCCACTTGACATACATGCTTGGTGACAATTCCCGCTCCACGAAGTTCATATACGTTCACCTTTTTGGTCATCAGTGGTAGCTTGGATGACAAAATATTAGAGTGGCACAAAAGCAGTTATAAAATACTGAATTTTTTTTCAAAAAAAAATTTAACTTTATACTATGAAATGTAGATGGTGCTAACGTGAGTCGAAGTATATTAATATTTACCTGAGAATTTGATGCATAAAGGGTAACCTTGGGGCAATTTACATTTCTTAAAAAGATTTTATTGATTTAGTTGCCAGAGAGAGAGAGCACGTGCACAAGCAGGGGGAGCGGCACGCAAAGGGAGAAGCAGACTCGCCGCTGAACAGGGAGCCTGATGTGGAACTTGATCCCAGGACCCTGAGATCATGACCCGAGCCAAAGGCAGATGCTTAACCCACTGAGCCACCCAAGAGCCCCACTTTCCATTATTTTATTTTTTTTAAAGATTTTTTTATTTATTTGACAGAGACACAGCAAGAGGGAACACAAGTAAGGCGAGTGGCAGAGGGAGAAGCAGACTCCCCGCTTGAGCAGGGAGCCCGGATGCGGGGCTCGATCCCAGGACCCTGGGATCATGACCTGAGCCGAAGGCAGACACTTAACCCACTGAGAACCTAGGCGGCCCAGGGCAATTTACTTTGCTAAGCCACCTCCGCTTCTTGATGGGGGTGAGGTGAGGGCACATGAAAGTCAGTGAACTATTTTACCCACAGCAGGGCTTAATGCTTAATCTCAATTACTGTTGCTTTTAACTAACACAGAGGAAATCACGTGACCTCTTCCTCAAAGCTCTGTAACATCTGCCTGGTCAATTGTAAGGTGTGGTTAGAAGTCCATAGAGAGAGATCTTAGGATGACGGTAAAGCCATTTACCGGGCTCATACTTCAATGCCAAATCTTGTTACGTATAGAACCCAACTATTTCAAGGATTAACTCTCTTTTCTTATGGATAAAATCATATTAGGTTTACACTCAAATTTTGCTGACTTGAGATTCCATCATATCATGCAGGATCTTAGTGCCCTGGAAAGTCCTCTTCTCACGTATTTTTGGAAGTCCCAGGGGTTCCTCACTGATCTACAAACAAGCTCACACTCTTGGGCGCAGCGTGCCCCCCCAGGCTTCTGTTAGGCCTCCACTATTTTAGTTGCTGCTGTGCCTATAGGAGAATGCCGCCTTGCTTAGATGTTCCCAAACTGTGAAACTCTTTAGGTTCCCCAAATAGTGCTGTGTTCCCAGAGAACAGGATCCTTGTCTCTCTCCTCATAGGGTCCCGTGGGCTGGGGTAGAGACCAATTAACCATACCATTTCTCATTGTACTTAGCTCTCCTGTCTCCTCCCCCAGGACTTAAGCACGTAATCTCTGCAAAAAACTTGCTCCTCACAAGTCCCCTTTTCAAAATGTCTATCAACTCCTGCAAAAGAGGCCTGGGTAGTTGGCAGTCCCTCCTTTTCTTGCAGATCAACCTTTGGTTGAGTCATGATCTTCCAGCTGCACATATATATGATTGCTAACTCTGTCA